TGTGGGAGAAGGCACATTTTGGATTCAATACACTTTTGAATAGTATTGAAGGCTGTGTGATCCATGAAGTGGCAGAGCCTTTAATAGCAAACAAAATGTTTCAGTCTATGCCCTTTGAGAGTGTAATATTTTAATAATTTGTCATGGCAAATTCAGAATTATTTTAGCTCACTTAGACTGCAGATGAGCAAATACTGATTCATGCCCTACTCATAGTCTATATACACGCATTGGGGTTTTTTTTTTAAATAAAGAAGGTTGTTCCACATTTAAGCAGTAGTTACATTTCTGAATATCAGAGCTTGTATGAAAAGTATGTATGCAACAGTGGCAAATATCTTTAGCTCAGGTGTAGGATGAAGATTTGTTCTTTGAGCTTGTGGATTGGTATATGACCATTTCATTACTAGGCTAGGTAACATCTTCAGCAGAGTTTAGGGAATGTTAGTGTTCTTCTGTTTATAAGGGCTTCGTATGGTCAGTAGATCTTGAGATGGGCCAGGTGTCAGTGTATCAAGTGAGGGTCTTGTAATGAGTCTTGTGATGGGGAGGTTACATCAGGTGAGAGTCATTGGGAGGTGAAGTGCTGGCTGGGGAGGGCTTGCCTGGGTTTGTTGAGGGTCAGTGCTGTCTCTGGTTAACTGTGTGGTTGATTTGGATTCTGAGAGGTTTGTAGGCTGTTAGTAGGTCCATCAGTGGTGGGATTCAAAAAGTTTTACCACCGGTTCGGTGGATGTGGCTTGGTGGGTGCGCTTTGCATGCATGCACACACTTTGTGCGCATGCGCACACCAAACGCACACTTTGTGCAGGCACAGAGGCATTCCAACTCACCTCCTGCAAGCCTGCACTCTCCCGGTCGCTTCAGCAGCTGCCGCACAGCACTCTGTTGTGCCACGCAAAGCAGCTATGCTTCAAAAGCAGAGGATAAAGGTGAGTATGGCAGGCCGGGCGGGTTGGTGGGTCCCACAACAGAGCGGCAGAGAGAACCAGGCCGAACCAGTACTGAGGTCAATGTGTCTGTTGATGGAATTGCTTGCAGAGTGCCAGGCTTCGATGAACTCACAAGAGTGGTGGGTGGTAGTGTGGCCAATGATGATGATGTAGTATGTATTCTAGTTGGTACACTTGCCTTGCCTTTTCCCTTGGAGTCCCAGTGCAGTAGAAATCAAATAATAGGTATAAGGAATAAGACTGTATTACTAAAATACTGACTTGAATGGTAATATGGTTAAATCTATAATTCAGACAAAATTATTATTTTGAGCTTGGATAGTTTTATCACCAATAAGAACATATGTACTGATTATCTACATATATTGAATTCATGGAGATTAGGTGGAAGACCAATTGGTGTGATGCCAATCACCTTCCTCCATATCCTTGTTTGTCTCTAAAGGAACATCCAAATTACTTCTCACTTGTTATTATTCCAATAAATTATAACATTTGAACAAGTTCCTATAAATACTATCAAATGGCATATCCCTTTTTAAAACAACTAATGCCAAGCTTATGAAAATGTTTAGATATTAACAGAATTACAATAGAAAAGATTCCTTTCATTGGAGATTGTGAATCCCATCAAATGGATCTCAAATCTTTTTATACTTGATGAAAAAATAATTGTATTCTAATATTTATAAGTTTTTCAGAACAATTATTAGAATTAAAGACTGGTTTCAAAATTTGCACAGCTAAGAATTTAAACCAGTATTCTTCAAAGTTGCAACTTTAAGATGTGTGGAATTCTTAAAGTTGTGTTGACAAAATTGGCAACTCTAACCATGATGGGCGTAAAACCTTACTTCTCCTTCGGTTATTAAGTGAGCCACTATGGTTAAGTAAAACATTACCTGACTGCAACTTTAACTTTTATTTTTGTCTTCTTTGTAAACTGTGCTTGTCACAAGCCAGTTGTGAAGTGCCCAAATGGCAATTACATGACATGGTCATAAATCAAGGATTGGTAACAAACTGTAGTGTTTTTTTTTACACCATCGTATTTTTGAACAGTTTGTAAACTAGCAAAACAGATGAAACATTTTTAACTGTGCTCTTTCTGATGTCATTGTTATATCATCACCACCTGTACTGCAGTCCTTCAAGAACAGATGGATGGATGAATGAATGAATAGATAGGACAGGCAGCCCCGAGGGCCTGAAAAATATTACTCATCAGTTTCTGACTAAAATAAATTTATTATAACTTGATGACCCAGTTCTGAATGTGGAAAGCATATCCTCTGAAAAGTATATGGGGTGATGTCAACTGATAATAAAAATTTGCTTGAGGTGTTGAGACAGGAAGGAAGCCATGCAAGCAATCACTGTATTTTCCTTTTTTCAAGTGCTAAACATATGTGTATGTGTGAATTTTTTTTCTAATTACATATTATGTATTACACATAAGGGTTTCACTCTCAGAAGAAGAGCATTGCAAAATAAATATTGTTTGGCATCTACCAGATTAATAAAGATTATATTAGTTCCATGCCAGTGAACTATGCAAATTAAAGGGAGTCAGTCTTGTTCTTTATTATTTTTATTGTAATTCCCAGGGCTGAACAATTTCCCTGCTCCTGGCTCAGACCAACCATCAGAGACCATTTCAGATTTCATGGAAGGGGAAAAGAATAGCATGGGGTTTCTTTATTGGCTAGAAGCGAACATTCAGATGAATCGAACCTTTTTGTTCCTATTTGTAGCTATTAGTAAATTATGAGAAAGTAATATATTGTAGGAATATTTGTTATAATTGCACAATCCTCATCCAAAAGGTCAATCATCTTATTTTTCAAAGCACATGGATTGACATGCATAGTTGGTGCATAAGCTGGTTTAATTGTTGATAACCACCAGCATTTATTGTGCAGAGCCAATATGCTGCTCACAGATGTAGGCCCGCTGATAAGTAATCATGTGGTAATAAGCCTACCTCCTTTCCTGGTCTGTTTGTCTAGTTCTTCTATGCCAAATGTTATTTGAAAAGTATCCATCACTAGGAATGAAACTGAATACAGGTTAGACAGAAGTACTGTTAGTATGAAATACATCTGTCTGGTATTCTGGAAGCTGTCAATTTTCCCAACAAGATCAGGTTTGTATATTGGGAATGCTTTTAGATCCATCCTTGTTGTTAGACAGACATCTTGGAGGAGAAAGATTCAGAGAATATAGCATTAAGTCCTGTGGTTTTTCCTGGTTTGAGGATCTAGATTATAAATTGGATGGCGGAAGAAATCTCATCTCTTCTGTAATAGACACTTCATATTTTTCTTTTCTTTTATTTCTACTTTGTTCTAATAGCTATACCCAGTTCTTGCCTGGTTTCAAAATTCAGGTTCAGTTTTCTCATTTCTAGCATTTCTTCCTCAATGAATATCCAGCAAAGTTGTGACAGATACTCAATACAGTATTGATGGGAACTGCCATTATGATCATATCAGATTACTTTTCTGTTATATTCTTTGCTTTTGAGTTCTTTGGAGCCCAGTAGAAAGTGCGAGTGTACATTTGCTGCTGAAGGATTGCTGCATTTTGTTTCTTATCCATATTGTTGACTCAGCACAACTTTTCTTATGTCCATTTGAAATATCTTCTCCAGAGCTAACTACTTGATACCTACTCTGTTATCTTCTCTCAGACCTTTTATCTTATGTGAAATAGATTTCTCTATGTGGTATTTTATTTCTGTTTAATACACAAGCACACACATTCTTACCATAGACACACAGAGAATACTTATTTTAGTCACTATGTTAATTGTTATTTTATCATGTTTTAAATTACAGTGACTTTTGCTTCAGTTTTGAATTTGTTGACTGCCTTGTTTTTAATCTCTGTGATTCAAGTACTTTTTTGCTCTGATGTGATTAACACATAGGAGAAATAAAATAATGAATTCACAATGAATTGCTCCAGCATCATCCAGGGATTCAGTAATTGATCTATTTCAGTTTTCTGTGCAGCTGGGGGATCCATTTGACCCATCTTTTAAAATTACTGTTTATTGGTAATGATGTCATTGCTAGGAAGGCAGCTTTGATTCAAACCGATCAACCATAAAAGTAACTCTAAGTAAATATGAGTTGCCAAATGAGAGTTAAAATAAAATCCAGCCTTGTGACATATATTTTTAGGTAATATATTTTCCCCTAGTTCAGCAAATAGCCTTATTGGATTGCACTGAGAAAATGCCATTGAACTGGAAATATTTAAACTCTTCCCCAGCGTTTTAGTCATAATACAGATCCCTTCTTCACCGCATTTTCTCTCTCCCTCCCTCTCTCTCTCTCTCCCTCCCTCCCTCCTTCCCTTTCTCTCTCTCTTTCCATTTCCCCCTCCACCCCCCCTCTCTCACACACAGATAGTCCTGTTACAGATCTCTAAAACCTTGTCACATCTGAAACATTTACATTTTGTAGGATGGTGAGAGTCAGATTTTGTGAAATGGCAGATATATAAATATGACAAATAAACATGAATAAATAAATTTGTCTTCGAATTTAGTGATCCTTTCTAGTATTTAGAGATCTAGTAGAAGTTCTTAATTTTCCATCTTGAACCAAATATATTTTCTGTAATACAAGACAAACATGAGGTTTTGCATTAACAGAAATACTCTTATCATTCCTTTATCTAGTAATGGCATAAAGAAAAGAGAGCAGGGTTGTTTTTTTTAATGAAGAGGGTGGGGTTTTCTCAAGGGTGACTCCTGCTGATAGGAACATTTTTCCTAAATTGTTGAAGCTGATTCCCATTGTTTATGTTTCTCACCATCAGTTATTTTCCAATCATACTGGTATGCATTGTCTGAATGTATTGGCTGAGTAGATGTTATTGTAATTTTACCTTTTGTGACTTTTGTTCATCGTGGGTTTTAACTGTATTGTTATTGGCTTTGAAGGTGGAAGTGTTGCAAATAACCTTGAGTGGTTTGGCATTAACGTTGTCCAATCTTACCTCTTCATTATTGTTTTTTCTTGTCTCCCGATACAGGTATGGCCTCCCATGTGCAAGTTTTCTCTCCTCATACTCTTCAATCAAGTGCCTTCTGTAGCGTGAAGAAACTAAAAGTCGAACCAAGTTCTAACTGGGATATGACTGGGTACGGCACACATAGCAAAGTCTATAGTCAGAGCAAAAACGTGCAATCTTCTCAAGCAGCCGCTGCCATCAATGCCTCTCTCCAGATTCCAAACCCCAGCATCCCTTATGAGCAGACCATCATCTTCCCAGCCAGCACCGGGCACATTGTGGTAACATCTGCCAATAACACCTCCGGTGTGGTTGCAGTATCTGGGCAGGCATTGGGCGGACCTCACAACCTGATGCGTCGAAGCACTGTGAGCCTTTTGGATACCTACCAAAAATGTGGACTTAAACGGAAAAGCGAGGAAATCGAGAACACAAGCAGTGTTCAAATTATCGAAGAGCATCCACCGATGATTCAGAATAATGCCAGTGGGGCCACAGTAGCCACCACAACAACATCCACTGCCACATCCAAAAATAGTGGCTCCAACAGCGAAGGGGATTACCAGTTGGTACAACATGAAGTGCTATGTTCCATGACCAATACATATGAAGTATTAGAATTTCTTGGCCGTGGTACTTTTGGGCAAGTTGTGAAATGTTGGAAACGTGGCACCAATGAAATTGTGGCCATCAAGATTCTTAAAAACCATCCTTCTTATGCCAGGCAAGGTCAAATTGAAGTGAGCATCTTGGCTCGGTTAAGCACTGAAAGCGCAGACGATTACAACTTTGTCCGAGCCTATGAATGTTTCCAGCACAAGAACCACACCTGCTTGGTTTTTGAGATGTTAGAACAGAACTTGTATGATTTTTTAAAGCAAAACAAGTTCAGTCCATTGCCCCTTAAGTACATCAGGCCAATATTACAACAGGTAGCCACGGCTCTCATGAAATTGAAAAGCTTGGGTTTGATCCATGCTGACCTCAAACCAGAAAATATCATGTTGGTGGATCCATCTCGGCAGCCCTATAGGGTCAAGGTTATTGACTTTGGTTCTGCTAGTCATGTGTCCAAAGCTGTGTGCTCAACTTACCTTCAGTCCAGATACTACAGGTAAGAGACTTCAGGGAAATGCATTAGGCTACATTATTCCTTGAAAGCATTTAACCATGCAAACAAACAAATGGAATGCTATTTGATTTCTGCCGTTTGATAACTGCAATACTATATGTGTTTGGTAATGTGAAATGGTGGTGAAGTAACATCCAACATCATTAAAATATCATAGTTCTTTTTTTCTTTTTTAGTATGCCACAGTGGTGATGCAGAAAAATCTTGAGATTCACCTCTAGCTCCATGTGGCCCTTGATACATTCTTTCACAGCAAATTTCTTATAGTGTGACATTTCATTGGATTATGCTGTATATAAATTAATTTGGCCATAAGGTGTCAAAGGACTCTGTTGTTTTAGGTCTAGCAGACGAACAAGTCCAGAAGTAATCAGTGAGGTGATTCTTCATTCTGGTAGATTTGATCAAAATATACCATGGGCATGCTCACCATGTCTCACAATTGAAATGCAGCAGTTGCTTTGCCTGTAAAAATTAGGTAATGCCAGTTCTTATGAAGAACCTGGCAAGATGCACAGAAGATTGATAGAGCCATTTGTCAGTCCTGTTGCTCACTACTGTCTATTAAGATCCGGATTTCAAATCCTGGATGAAAGCAACTTTTCAGGATTGGATAAGAATTCACTCCAGAGTTTTGCATAGGGCTACAGCAGCTGACCCTAACTCTGAAAATCCGCCATCCTTCTTTTACTTAAAAAACTCTTGATTAAACAAGGAGAGTCCATTTCACACAGGGATAAGAAGAATGTATATTGTGCTCAAATGTATATTGTGCTTAAGTTAGAAGTTTCCCTGCCTCTTGCTGCAGTTATATTGCCCTGATACAGAAAGCATGGGAGAAAAAGCTGCTATGAATATTATGTGCAGGTTCTGTTATGGTGCTAAAAACATATTTTTGAGTTCTAATTCTTGAGCCTATCCTCTTAAACTGGCGGCTATTTTGCTTGTGGTCCCCTTGGCGGCCCTTGAATTTTAATTTATTTAATTTTAATTTTATTATAAAATTTAACATTTATTTTTTAAGATGGCGATTAACAAGCTGGATGGAGGGGCGGGGATGTGTGATCATTGGAATATTACCTGTGATATTTCATAGGCTGCCCAAGACCACAGAAGAATTTGAAATTTAGGCATATATCAAACATAAAATTTAAAAAGGAGAATGTTTTGTTTTCTGGGAAGAAGGCATTGTGGTATTAGCCATGGCATCAGGGAAATCCATGATTATGTTTGTGTAATGTTTGCAAGTTTCTTATCTTGAAGTCACCACACTCATTTTAGCTAATTTCTTTATTGCGATTTGTTATAAGAAAAAAAATCAGGAAACTGAATTGGGCTTCTAACAAAATCATAAGGAATATATCTATTATTGCTCTGGCATATGCTGATGGCAGTAGGGTGTCACAGGTAAAAAGCATTGTGGAACAAAGTCTCTTAAAAATAGATATATTTTATGCTAGAGATAACGTGCATTAAGATGGATTGGAAAACAATACATTTTGTTTTTACATTGAATTTATTGCCAGTTCATTAGGAGGTCAGATAAAATTTCTTCCAGAAAATATACATTGCAGGTGAATGTTTTAAAAATTGATTAAAACATCAAACATAACATGATAACAAACAATCCTAAAAAATAAATATTTTTTTTTAAAAATATCATGTTTGTGATAATTAAATCCTGGCTTGGTGGACAATATTTTGGAGAACATGCTTAGGGTTGCTCCTGAAGTGGCAGAAGGGATAATCTGGCAAAGGTAGATTTTTCACTGCACCCTTCAAAGTAGAAGATCTTTGCAAACAGTTTGTGTAAATTACTTGTTGGTCGGATACTATAATTTACTGTTATTAACCAGGAAAGATGGAATCTTTCCTGTTACTTAAAAATTTGTACCTAACAAATGGGAAGGCAGGTGGTTTCCAAGAAGCCTTAAGATGTACACTTAACCATTTTAATTAACCAGGTCTTCTTGTACCTTTATTCCTTCTTGTTAGCACATTCGGGCCCTAAAGGTACAGTAATTGGGGTGGGGAGGAAAGATAGAACAATAATCTGCTGATGAAAGAACTTGCACCATTTCCTGTTTCATCGTTCAGCACTATGAAAGAGCTATTACTCAGATATGCAGTATGACCTTGCCATCTCAAATGACCGCACCCAGATGTAGCCATCTTGGCCTATATGGGACTGACTGAACCAGAATTTAATATGACAAGTATTTGCCTTCAAAATAGGGATTGATATGGTTTGTATGGTGAATCTCTGTTAAGTGATCAGGTGGAAAATTTGCAACTGAAAGAGAATCTCACAGACACGTGAGCTAACAGTTGTTCCTATTTTACACATCAGTGTGCCATACATAAAGTACAGGGAGTTGTGTCTGGGTAGATAGGGATGGTTCTTTCTCAAGATATTTTTTTAAAAAGCAGTTAAAACAAGTAGGTTTTAATCACTTTATAAGGATAACCTATAATAAGAGGGGAGTCCTTAGCTTACATAGAATTTTTACTGTTGTTCAGTTGCTACCATCTCTTCATGATCCTGTGGATAAATCTGCCCAGATTCTCTGTCAATACTTTTTCTTTGAATTCTTGCAAGCTCATGCTTGTGATATCAGTGATAGTATCTTGCCATATTGGCTTCTGACAGCATTTTTAAAAATTATCTTTGATTTTTTTTTTTTTGAGACATCAAGGTCATCTCCTCCTTCCTCATTATGTATCCAGAATTATTGAAGTTTTAGCTTAGATTGTAGCTAGTTTCTAGATTCTGCAATAAATATCAATAAATTATTTTTAATCACTCCTAAAAGATTTTAATAGAAATAGCAACACCACTTAGACTTATATTCTGCTTCACTGTGCTTTACAGCCCTCTCTAAGCAGTTTACAGAGTCAGCATATTGCCTCCAACAATCTGGCTCTTCATTTTACTGACCGCGGAAGGATGGACAGCTGAGTCAACCTTGAGCCAGTCAGGGTCGAACTGCTGGCAATGGGCAGAATTAGCCTGCAGTACTTCATTCTAATCACTGTGCCACTACAGCTCTTAAAATAGGAAGATCTTAAAAGTTGGTTGATAGATAAAGGGCCAATTCAGGACTTAAGAACTATGGGGGGACAGTTGGTAGCTGGAATATAATATTGAAATAGGAGCTGAATTCACTGGTAATTTTGTTAGCAACTTATAGACTTCTAGAATAATCAAACCAAGGCCAAGGACAGACTCTAGATCATTTCAGCAATGTAACTGATTGCATAGGACAGAGTATATATGACTATGGATTCCCATAGAATTCCTCACAAAAAGATCTACAATTTATGTCCTAATTTTATAAGACTTTTAAATAAGCTAATCTCCAAGTGATCCTTTTGTAGATTCGGCAATAATGAGATGTCCCTCTAGGCTGAATGATTGAGCAAGAGAGAGATTTCAGAGAGCACTTGCATCACTCCAGAATCAGCTTCAAATCAGACTGACGATTCACTAACATCTCTGTTTGACAAATGCAATGTTTAGTTTTTGTTTAGTTGTAGCGTGTTTGATATTTCAATAAAATGAATCTTCTTTTAACGTCTATAACTCTCTGGAGTTTAAAAGAATTAGAATTCTTTTATTGGCCAAGTGTGGTTGGACACACAAGGAATTTGTCTTGGTGTAAATGCTCTCAGTATACATAAAAGAAAAGATACATTCGTCAAGAGTCAAGAATCATAAGGTACAACACGTAATGATAGTCATAGGGTACAGTAAGCAATCAAATCATACTAGGAAACAATCAGTATAAATTGTAAGGATACAAGCGACAAAGTTACAGTCATACAGTCACAAGTAGGAGGGGATGGGTGATAAGGAATGATGTGAAGATTAATAGTAATAGTAGTGCAGTATAGTAGTATAATAGTAGTGATCAGCTTCTCTATTAGCAGAAACCTTGGTCTCATTCCACTACCTAGATTTCAACCAATGGTGGGATTCAATTTTTTTTTACTACGGTTCTGTGGGCGTGGCTTGGTGGGCATGATGGGAAGGATACTATAAAATCCCCATTTCCTCACCACCCCACTAACCTGCTTTCCAGCTCCGTTCTCCTGTGCAGGGCAACACAAGAAGACCCAGCTGAGCAACTGGGACTTGGGAGGTGGAGAATAGATGGGGACAGGGCCAATCAGAGGGGGTATTTGCTGGTTCTCCGAACTACTCAACATTTCCACTACCGGTTCTCCAGAACTGGTCAGAACCTGCTGAACACCACCTCTGATTTCAACCTTTTTAGCACATCTTTCAAGTGAAAAAATGATTTGATGGTTTCTTCTCCACCACAGGGGAACCATTCATTCATTCATTCATTCATTCATTCATTCATTCATGGCATATAACTAAATGGAGAGCCATTTTTGTATCAACACTGACTTGAAGGCACAAACCCCACACACATACAATTAGAGAGACATGCAGAAGATGAAGTAAGGATGTTGATGAAGAGAGAAGATTTTTATTTTTGTATTTTACTCCAGAACTTGTCACAGCTTGGGGTAAGATGGCAATTAAAGGGGATTCTTTGCTCCTTATTCTCAACATTTTGCGGTTGGCAGAAGCGTAGACAATTCTGAATCATCCTCAAGCTACTTTTGAGGGATTGACAAGTTAAAATGGTATTGGTGTGGCAGTGCCCAGAGACAAGAAAATTCCCTACTCATAATTGCTTTTGTTCCTATGTATTGCTGGCTTTGGCTCTGTCCAGCCCGGTATGTAGTGCCTATGCAGGCACTGAAAATAAAACTCTTAAATCAATGCAATTTATTGTACAGTACAATAAATTGAGCTAGGTGAACTGTTCAACTAGGTAAGCTAAGGATCTAACTCAGTGCTGGAGCACATTACAGAATGTTATTTCAGGTACACTTGTAGAGCATCTTTCCCCTATGTCTGAATTCCCAAGTGAGCATAAACATTGCAGAGAATTTTAACAAATCTAGAG